TTGTCATCTAATCAGGCTACTAATGATCAATTTTGAAAGTGGAAAATTAACAGCTGAAACTATTAATAGTGCAACTACTCCTTCCTGCTGGACCAGTCCTTCATTACGAGATGAGTTCCATTTCCTAATCAGATCACACACCTATAATGTAAGAAAAGGTCTGCATCCAACTAGGCCATGGGATAGTCACAATGGAATGCTTCTTCTGGATGTTAAGACAACAATTAGGGAACACTACTCATGGCATTTATTAACCGATGAAATTGGCCTTTTCATCTTACGTGAGACAGGCACAGCTATGTTGAGAGGCAACATCCATAGGATATGCCATATAGTTCTGTTTCCCTATGGCATGATATAACACCTACGTTTTAAATGCATGGCACCAAAATGGAAGATGGAACCAAAGTTTGAGCCATGTGCATAGGCTCCCCCTGGACAGAGTATGGACAGAGTTAGGCACCTCAGAGTGTCATCCAACACAGGCCAAATGCTGAGCAATGTGTCACTTGAAAGCAACACATGCTGTGCAGAGCCTAGATTCAGTCAACAAGAAATGCTGAGTACAAAGCTGTGCCCTTAAATCCAGGGCTTTGAGTAGTGCCACCCTTTCCTTGAGATCCACAGCCTGAAACCTTCTCTTGAACATATGCCCTTGTCCTTGAAGGTCAATCTTTACTTCTAGAAGGCACTCTCAGGAGGCTATGCCTATTTAAACAAAAGCCTAAGAGTTTAAGTACTCGTCCAGAAATTAGGAAAAACAAATTCAATTCTCTCCTCTCCATAAAGCGTTCCTGCATTTTCCACAGGCCTGGAGGTGCTGTAATCAGAATACATCCTTTTCTGAAGTGTAAGACTCTCCATCCTTCCTGCTGCAAAAGTCACACTGCACAGATGCATTGGTCAGAAGGAGACAATGCAAGGAGGAGATGACTGTAGCTCAGTGGTTAGGTCATATCTGCTCCCAGAACTGCTTCTGTATTATACACAGATGGTCATAAGATAACATACACAAGCAATCCTGAGCCTGCAGAGAGGCACCTATGGATATTTCAAGTGAAAAACTAAGATGTCAAATTTGCATGCCTCCAGGTTTAGGCAGCAGCTGGATGGCCATTTTCATACTGGTTTGGGCGAAGTCACCTTAGTCCTGCTTGAGGCACCAAAGTCCCCTTTCAAATCTGGCCCAAACTAAAGTTCCACTCATGCTTGCAGTTCTTCTGAACGAGTGTTAGCTAGCCAGCAATACAGAGCTACCAGTGGAGAAAAATCTCACAAGGGAAATCACTGAGATTAATAATCAGCCAGAGCGAGTGGTCCATTTACCTCACCAGAAGATAGCACACTGATTGCAGCAATAAAGCTGATAACGCTGTCTGTGGCAGCTCAGCTATGGGCTCGCAAATGTGTTCTGAAACGTATACAGGAAGGAGGGTCAAATCTCACAGAACCCTTTCAGTAGATTCACCCAATCTTATCACAGCTGGTATCTATTGGTTAAGTTAAATCTCTGATGGTAAGAATGTACAGGGAACGTAAAAAGAGACTCCTTACATTATGCTAGATCTTCAAATCTAATGGAATCTCCCTTGATTAAATAGTCCAGATCAGAGTTTTACAAACTTTTTCTTATTGCATACCCCCTTCCAGATGTACCAGCTGACTGTGTACTCCTACCAGCATGTTTTATATTTTAGATGCCAATTATTATAATTAAAATTATATCCACCATTACACAATTTCTCCCACGTAATCCCAAGAGATGTCTTGCACACCCCCAGTGGTACACATACCACAGCTTGGGCATCCCTGCTCTAGACAATGAAAAAACTTACACAGTAAGGACAAGAGGCTTGAATTCTTTTCATTTTTTCTCCTCAAAATCATTTATGTCATATTAAAAAAAAGATAAAGGAGTCCATATACCTGGATTTGACACCAAATACACAGCTGTATAAAAAGTAGCCCAATAAAACATATTTTTTTTTAAAGGTGCACAGAAGTAGACATTAATAGTGTGGGTTATTTTAAAGGCAATTTCCTTTTTTTCCCCACTGAGCGTTTTCCAAAAGTGCTTAATCTTTATCAGTCTAAAAATCTATAGTGGATTTTCCTCTATTCTCTTTTCCCTTTCTTTTTTTTTTTAATCTTTCTTTGTTTTTATTCCTCCAAGAATCAACAGCAGTCCTACTAGTGCACATACCAGCTTCCCCAGTCAACTATCAAGAGTCAGATCAAAGACACAACATTCTGGTTTCTATCCCTATTCACTAGTCTAAAACATTGTATATTTACTACTGCTAGCCACCTCCATCCCACTGCAACAAAATAGTTTGTTAAAAGGTGACAGGATCAGTAAATCTGTCCTAAATCCCACTATCATTTGACCTTAATTTTAGTTAAAGAGAGCTTTTCTTTTCTCATTTTAACCTTCAGTCCAGTCCAAAATGAAGATAATATTGCTTGGATGAACTACAACTATTCATATTTACTTCCTCTTGTTCAGGTCATAAGAGTCAACTGACAACCAATTTCCAATTAAACTGTAGCACAGTCCTTATCAATGCAAACCCTACACTCAGACATTAGACTACAAAGACTCAAAAGTTGAGGGGGGAGAGACAGGGGAAGAAAACCCCCCTGAAACAGACATCGTAGCTATACAAACACATGTGGGTACAAACGGAAGTTTCAGATGTACTTTTACTATGTTTATGAATGTAGCAAAACTATTCAGTATTTATTGCAAAGCATGAAAATATTAATCAGTTACTTATCTTCTGACATGTTCTGCATCAACATCTGTTGTATGTGGAAGTGATGAAGTATAGTATTTGGCTCAAGATCTTATTTAATCTTCTCTTCCCAAATTGGGCAGGAAAAATTAGCACTCTTTAAAAACTGAGCTTCCAGCTCCAATTGTTTCTTTCAAATAAATCGCCTACATTGTATAGGTTGTCTGGTTCAGTTTGGAACATGTTTCTGGTCTGAGAAAAGACTGATCTTAACTAGATTACCTATGCGTTGCTTCCTACCGCTTTTTGTCTTCCTTGCAGTATCTCACTGCCAAGGCTCAAGGGACAAGTATAGTCTAGGTTCAGCTGTTTTATTTCTAGTTCTATCAGTTCAAAACGAGATAACTCACACATCTGTTTTATTTCTGAAAACGCTGCATAGGAAAAGTGTCCAGCCCATTCTAATCAAGTATAAACTTCCCTATAAATAACTAAGGATCTAACAAAACCATTGTTTGGAGGAAATGAAAGTGTGTTTAGAAACTCAAATTCCTCTATACTGTATGCCTTAGCTATTTCAATCTGAACATCTTCCTGACAGCATGGATCAGCTGCCCTAAGATACTGTCCCCAGAGTCAGCAAACTGAAACTATAGCAGGAAATCCAGGTATTAACAATATATTGCATGCTAATTATAACCCATAGTTATACATTCTAACATTACTCCCTTCTGAGCTCCTTTACTAAATCATGTATTTGCTTTTTAACCACAGTTTGATGGGACAGATGGGATACAAGACAGTAAAATAATCTTCCAATAAGACAACAACTCAAAGACTGTAGCTTTTATGCATAATAACGATCTTGCTTTGATTTGCTGCTCTATAAAGAGTTGATAGAATTTCACAAAGTAAGAGGAAAAGTTAAACAGCTTAAAAAGCTGCAAAGTTCCTGACTTGGGTTCCTGTTTCTCAGTATTTCTTAAGGCGAGACATTAGCTACTTTGACCTTTTCTGTGAAATTCCTCCTTTTAATGACAGTACTCTCTGCAGGTACTATTAAATATTTCTACCTACATTAAAAAAAAAGTTTCTTGGAGGGTTACGTGGTAATTAGTACTAGGTCAATGCATCATCATGTCTTATGCAAACATGCTCCTAAAATTGGTTTAACATTGAACTGAGTTTTCATGTGACCTTTGTTACCAACTGGTCCAAATTATTTTTATTCTAAAGTGAACATTTAGATCAAAGACTAAACCGGCCTTTTAGTACTTTTTCCAGATGATCCATAAAGGGGGTAAAAAAAAAAAAAAAAAAGAAAAAAACCCCCCAAAAAAAAAGAAAAAAAAAAAAAAGGGGGAAAAAAAAAAAAAAAAAAAAAAAAAAATCAATACTATTTAAATATATGGGGTTTCACTAATGGAGTTTTCTCCAAGTAGAAATAATTAAAACAGAGACTCTGTGAACATATTTTTAAATGCACTCTTTAGATAAAAATTTGCTACCAGCTTTTACTCCAGTGTTGAACATACAGTAAAATCATGGCTAAAATTTGATCTAAAAAGTATTGAGACAGTAGCACTACCTTTATATTCCAATTGATACAAGTAATAATAATAATAATAATAACCCCTTTTATAATCAGCCATGGACTTCCCATTGTGTGGAAACATAGCACTGTTGTTTTGGCACTAGATCACTTCTGGTGTCACCAGGACTTGTACCTTCTGATGTCTGCAATTTCAAAATCAATAAGCCAAGTCTTATTCCTAAAGGCCAGTCATCAAAGTCCATGACTACATTTTAATCTGTAGCTAATGTCCACTATCTACCTGGTTATTTAAAATGCTTGTTTTGTTTCATCTCTCTAGGATACAGAAGTCCTTAGCTAAGATGAAATTCCAGGTGGCCTGTTTGCTGCAAATGAGCTTTTATTTTTGATTACCACAAAGACCAAATCACAGATGAGGATGTCTATGGGAAAAAAGATGCTTCTTACTACATTTAACAGGGCATTAAGTGGACCTCCAGAAATTCTGACATATCATATTCCCTCATCAGGGCAATCATTTCAATAATTGATAGCAACCAGGGAAGACATAGGGTAATTGGATCTAAGCTTTCCTGTGGCTGAAGTGAGCTGCATGAGATACTTTAATTATGCTAGTTTGAGATGGGGAAGTAGGAGTTGCTTTCTGAGATGGACACCCCCATCCCCAATTGTCTCTGAGGAAGTTACAGAGAGGTATGGAAGATACAAACCTGCACATCATAAGTTCCATTTAATAAGACAGGCCTCTGGGAATTGATATCCTGCAGCACCCCTGAAAGCACAGTGCGATTGACTTTCTGGAAGTCTTTGGAGTGGCTGAACTGCACCATGTTGTGGAGGGCCAAAATTTTAGTGTCGAGCTCAGCATCCTGCCTGGTGCGGTTGTGCAGTCCTAGGTGGTACTTGCGGAAGTGTTTGATGAGATCTGTGGGGTCATTCCCATAGTAACCATAACCACAGATGTTGCATTTGAAGTCCTGAAGCTCTGGAGACAGAGGTGCCATATCTGGGTTGTCATTTACCAACAAGTCTGCTTTTGATTTGTTCAGCCTTAAACCCCCATCTGAAGGCACTTGTGGGTTTTTTGAGGCCACGGGGACCGGGCTTGAGCCTTGGCCATCGGTTTGACCACTTTGCACTTGCACTGTTTCATCTGTAGCTTTTGGCGACATCTGATGCACTTCATTTGTCTCCGCTGGATCTCCTGATGGGGTAGAGACCACATCTTGGGTGTCATCTGCATCTGATTTTTGAGGAGACTTCAAGGGCTCACAAACTCCCCCAACAGCTGGAGATGTCAAAGCCAACATATTTCTGTCTGTCACCTCATCATGAGGGAAGGATGGAACATTTCCTCCCTTATTGTGGCTTTCATAATTGAAGCCAGTCTTTTCACTTAGAACTGAGCTCTTTAAGTCCTTTTTAATGCTGGAAGATGGCTCTTGAACATGTGTGCAAGGTTCCTCCTTGTTGTTTAGCTCTGCCGTATCACCCTGGTCAGTGTTTTCTTGCATCTGATCTGCAGAAAATTCTTTTTTCCTTCCAGACTCTTCACTTTCAGTACCTGTAGATTCAAGGGTCTGTACCTCACCTTCACTTGCAATGTTTCTTAGAGGGGGGTTCTTTTTCCGGACCATATCTATAAAAAAAAATTTAAGGCAAAAAAAAAAAAAAAAATGAAAAGAAAAAAAAAGGAAAGAAAAGAAAAAGAAAAAGAAAAGAATCACCTATGGAGTTATCAAAATACACAGAAGATAGTTCTGTATTTCAGGATCTAAAACACAGATACAAAATGCTAAATATCAAACTGTTCAGATTCTAGTCAATCAATGCCACAAACTGGAACCTGGCTTTAAAAAAATTGTCACACTGGAAGTGAACTCAACTAACAAAGACCCTTAAATCCTAAGAATAACAACTTCTATCAACATTAATTAATTAGAGTGTTCATTATCTTTCCTGAGAATACTGGCCAGTTAATGCTGGTAAAAAATTTGAACAAATGATTTTAAAACAAAGTGAGGGAGAGGGAATAACCCTGTGGTGTAATGCTAAAAATTTAGACAACGTACTGGTATTTTAACAGAAAAAACAATTATCATACATTGCCAAAAGTACTTGAACAAGCTGAATCAATACATGTACGCTTACTGTGTGCTTGAGTAAAGATCTATCCAGCAAAAAATATGGGACCCAGGTGAATCTGAGAAGTTGATTTTCTTTTTTGGGAGTGGGGGGAGGAATTGTATATCCACAGAGCTTGGATAAGTAGAAAGGGACACTCTACAAATCCATATATGGAACCTCACATATAACAGAAAGAAGGCTAGTGTTGGTAGCTAACTGAACAGGGTGATACTTAAGTAGAGTGCTGAGGTACTATGCATGCAGTTACTGCTCTTTAACAAAATATTTCCTCCTACCCTTTAGCTAAAACTTCCATGCAATGTGCATTTCCAGAATCTGTACTGGATCAGCTATTGATCAGTTTGTATTCATGCACTGACTATGGGCATGAGACAAATATTCTACAGTATATCCTATGTTCTTATCTTAGCCAGTGATGCATACAAAGATGGATGATTTTCCATGCCCTTGCATCTGGTTGAGTGGAAACAGACTGTGCTACCATACATGAGTTTCAAGTTTGAAACTCAGACTTGATCCTGTGCTCCCAAGCCAGCAATGGCTGAGAGTATGCAGAGGCACTACATTGATCTGTGAACAGAGAACCACCTCGCAATTGAGAGCAACATGGGATGCTTTCCACATGCTGCTCTGCACAGACCTGAAGTTCAGCATGATATTTTGAGAAGTGTAGCTGAGGGTGGAGATGAAAAAGAAAAAGTCAGCCTTTGTACATCCTCCTATATACATCTGCTCCACATAAAAGGGCACCATGTCCTATGTTGACAAAAACAGCCAACTTCTAAGGGGAAGTGTTTTACTTGTGTCTCAAGCTCTGCCTTTGTGGTTGAACTGATCCACAGGCAGCATTAACTACAACAAGACGCTTTTGCACAAAGTGCCAACTCATATTACATACATTTTGACACTCGGTGTGGTCTTAATTGGTTTCTTAAATGGCTGCTACGGTTCTTCATTTAAAAGGCATATATGCCTATGAGCCAAGTTTCTTCTCCTTCTGTAAAGGATATGCAGGATGAGTTTATATGCTACTGCCCATATAAATGCATCTCTGGTTCATAAATGAACTATCTGTAAAACTATAATAGTCCTTCTGAAACCCATGGCAGCTAGAAGACAGGAAAAGGAGCACTAATTGCATCTGTGAGAGGATGTCAGAGATATAAAAATCAGGGAACTTCATAGTAGTTTTCACAGTTAAAATTCAACAGGGTTAAATTTAATGTTCTAAAAAGTTTTTATAATAGGTCTTTAGATAAGGAGAGCTTAGAGGCCTGGCTGACCTAAAAGGAGAGAATTAGAGAGAAAGATCTAATAGGCTCCCTGCACATGAATGAGCTCCAGGAAAAAACTGGGACTACACGCACTCCAAATAGACAGGATGCCAAATGTAGATGGTCCAGTAACCAACCTCATCCTCCATATCTATAGGGTCAAGTGCATATAGAGTGAACACAAAATAGTTCAGCTTAATGGAGCATTTCCTGGTACACTTTACAGTCAAAAAAAAAGGGAAGGTGGATTTTTTCATTTAAGTAGAACTGATTTTCAGCTTCAGGGGAAGTACTTTATTTTTCTCTCTTTCACCTTTCCTTTCTTACTTTTCTTTTTTTTTTTTTTTTAAAGTATCTTATTTATTTGATTAAGGGTCCCTACAAAAATAAATGATATTTTTTTGTTGTTGGAAAACTTTTAACTATCATTTTTCAGAGAGACATACTATGTAAATAAAAGCACATTTGCAGTACTTCTAAACTGAGGAAACTCTCCCCTAGCAAGTCATAAGTTAGATATAATAAGAATATGGTCACTCTGAAATTATCTCAAAGACAAATAACAGATTGCTCAATGTTTTATTGTGTGCCAAGAACTTTTACAGTTAACATTTTCACTTGAAAAAATGGATCACATACTTGTAAAATCATACCCAGCATTGACTTCATAAGGCATGTGGCTTTAGAGTGCTTTTTACAATTATTAATTCTATTAGTCAACTAGCAGGAGGGCTAACGCAATTGTCTTAGAAGACACACGGAAGACACAGAAGACATTTTGAGAGCTGATCTGTACATCTGTAAAACAAAACAAAAAAAGGTTTTCCTTCCTAAATTATGCATTTACAATATGGTTTTTACTTAAAAACATTATTATGCCTATTTATTATTCACATGCATCTCTCACTGGGCATTATATCAAGAATTCTGTACTTCAGTCAAGTGTGAGAAGTGCTACACAGACATACCCACACACATGAGAAAAATAGTGTTATCATACTAAATTGCCTCAGACATCAGCTGCATCAAAAAAAGATAAAATATATGTTGCAAACAAAGTGGGCATATTGTGCAGGAAAAAAAACACTCAAACTATTAACTTCTTTTAACATATATTCTGAATTGTGGAGAACTGGACAGCTTAACGGGACTGGGAATGGAATCCCAGCTGAGTTTCAAATCCAGGCATGTTGGCAGTAACTGAAAGCAATATGTTGGCTGTTGGGTGTCCTACATGAAATGAATTTGGTAGTATTAAATTAGTTGCTAGCGGGCAAGTGTCCACCACACAACAATGCCATCACAATAACAAGGTTGGTGGCAGTCCCAGCAAAGAGGCCAAGTGCTGAACAGACACAGAAACTGAACTACCTTTCAGTATTGGTGGTAGTGGTATTTCTAAACCAAAGGAAAGTTTTGTAAAGCCTTATCCAAAGCCCCCTGCAAGATTCTTATTGAACCCAACGGTCTGGGGACTCTGAGTGACTGGAAATGGGTTCATGGTTAATTAGGCTGCTGCAGAACACCTGGTCTGCCATAAATTCATTTCCAACCAACAGCCACCTGCATGCAACTAAATTAGTTCCCCTGCTAATCAGCCACTGTGTCCATTTGTCAAAAGGAAGCGTCAATCTACAGCATCAGAAGCTACACAGTCTAGCAAATTAAGCAGAGACTACAAGCAATGGATGTCAGGATTACAACACCTTCTGTTACACTGACTCCCTCTACAGCTTTAGGAATTTCTCTGTACCTCAGTAACCACAACTGTAAAATGGAAGCAATACTTACCTACTCCAAAGGAGTGCTGTGATGACTGATAAGTGAATATTTATGAAGACTACATATTACTATGTTTATCAAGCTATATGCAAAGGATTGCAGCCCCCCAGGGTCAGTTTATTTGGAAATGTGTCATGTGACAGGCATTTATAAGTATTTGGGATGCGTGGTCTACAGAACCCACTCTTGCAGCCAAAGTTTTGTGATGGCATGAAGATCTTCCCTGATCGTGCTTCTTTTAAAATACAGTCAATCTGCTAAATGTGGAAGAGTTAAAACAAAAAGGGGCCTTCTCGACCATTCCCAAATTCCAAGGTTGTCACTTAACATAGTGTGTATGACCATTGGGCTCAAAAACAGTGGTGGGGAATTAAGGGAAAGGGGGCAAAACACTATATAGTCTTTCAAGCCTACCAAAAAGTAGACACTGGAAGTATGAAGAAAAGCATTCCTATGTCCTGTAACTGTCTTGTGGAAAAACTGAAGACTTCAGCTTCCAGTTCTCCATGTACCTTCATCAGATATATTAACTAAATATTTTACTAATTCAACTTTAACTAATAGGAGAATATGCCACATACAAGTAATCTTTGACTGGCTACAAAGCCCCAAAACGAGATTCCTCTACAATCTACTGTTTGCCCTACCTTACTGCTGACTTCAGGCTAAGTAATATCTTTCAGTTTTCATCTTTTCAGACTCTTTCAGGGGAATGAGTTTCATAGACAACAATTTACTGCATCATCAGACAAAGTAGCATTTGATGAAGTAAGTTGTTGCCTATGAAAGCGCATGAGTCTTCGAATGAGTTAGTGCCTATGGTGCCACCCTGCCCTACTTTCTGCAATCTACTCAAAAGCTGGTTAGGCAAACACTTCACGAAACAGTGCAGATAAATGAGACTGCACAGTATTTAATAAAGGCAAATGTTTTTTTAAGATAAAATATTTATATGAAGTCTCTTTGCTTTGAATATTTTTTTATTTGCTTTTACCTCTGCCCCAAATGTTGTCTATGTGATTACTACCAAAGCAGGAAATGTAAGTATTGATGCTTGAGATAGTGGTTAATTACTTCTGATCACTAAGGCTCACAATGGATCATTTTGTTGCCAGTCATCATTTCATTAGAAGTAATAACTTGTCACCGTAGCATGTTGCAGTAAAATGGCAATTAACTCAGGAAAACCCTACAGTTTTAAGCCCACTTTGATGCATATGTTCTTTTTAACCCAGCAATAGATTTGAAAAGATGCATGACTTTTAATGCACAGGCAAACAGATAGCAGGTTTATTCACAGGCCTATGAATTTAGCTGTCCCAGGAAAGACAAGTCATCCAAAATGAAACAGAGAAATGCATTTACATTTAACAGACTGCACAGAATCTCTGTGTTAAGGGCTAGTGGAAATCATACTATTATATATGTTGTGCACTCACACCGAGCTAAAACATCGGTCGTATTGCCAGAACAATGCAGCAAAAAATCATTAAACTCTCAGTGTCTCAGCTTAATATATGTCTAATACTTACTTAGCTCACAGGAGTGTTGTGAGGCTTAATTAATTAGTGACTGTAAAGCACTTTGTGATCCTCTAATGAAAGGTGCTACATAGCATAAAGTATTATTAAAATCATTAGGACTACAGAAAAAGCCCTGTGGAATTTAAGGCTACACTGTCTGCTGGGGATAGGAGTGATCTTAATATTAAAAAGGAGACTGTCAGGCTAATTTTCATAATTTAAAAAAAAAAAAAGTTCCTTGTGTTATGATAACACCTTGGCAATAAATAAATCTTCTCTTCTTAATGACATACTATCATTCTGATTTGTTACTGCAGAGCTGAGTAAGACAGCAGGGCTTTTGACACAGATTTGGCTTTCTCTTTAAAAATTAAAAAAAAACAGAGCAAGACACATTTTGATGCCTTCCTATATTCGACCCCAAAAGGATCCTTGATCACTTGGTGCTCTAGTTTGCTCACTGTGGTGGCAGGGGGGGAAATATCACTGATATTTTATTTTTTTCCCCATATATTATTAGAATAATACATTTTTAATGTAAGTTGTATTATATATGTAGTGAAAGAAAAGGTATATTGCACATACAGTTATTAAAAAAAACACTAAACATGCTTTATCCAAAAAAAAAAGAGTGTTTTGTTAAAGGTCCCTGTGGCGGGTCAGTAGGAGGTGCTCCTGTGTTGAGCCACCCACCTCACTGCGCCCGACCACTTTCCAGGCTCCGAGTGCCTCCCTGGGGGCACCTCGTGTCCGGCTGACCCCCCTCCTGGAGCACGCTCGCTAGACCAGGGGTAACATAAGCTGCCACCACCCCAAGGGGGGACCCTCTTAAGCTCTGTGTCTTTGGGGAAACACAGGCCTAATAGTCCAACAGGTACTCGACCCCATACAAGCACTTGGGGTACTTCCCCAAGTCAGGGGCCAAAAAGGAAAGTCCCTCTTAGTCCATAGACCTAAGGGGCCTGTTAGGCATAATTTAGACCCACCCCTCAATAAGTCTCCTACACCGGTCACAAAGGAGAACTTTATTGATTACAGGGGTAGGGTGAAAACAGGGTACAAGATAGAGCAATATCATAGAAATCCCATAGAGCAAAACAGTCTGGCTGAGGTAGCCTTTTGATCACGCATCTGAGTTACTGCCAGCTAGATATCTAACCAGATCTCGAGTAGCTTATTCACAAGCATCATCCCAAGGCTGTTGGAGATTCCCGCTGAAGGCAGGCCGTTCCTAGCTCATGAGTTATGGGGGACAGAGCCAGTTTCAGATGGTAAAACTCCTCTCTAAGTGTGAGTCCCCCGCATGGCTGCTGCCCCCTCCTCCTCGGCAGTCTTAACTTATAAAGCCCGTGACCTCATTCACCTGGTCCAATGGAGACCAGCACCTACTGGCTGCCGGCCAACCAATTTGAAATACATCACTAGTTGCCGGGCAGACTCTAGCCCACCAGATAGATGCCTCTCACCCAGGTAGCTGATAACAGTCACGTAGGCAGAGGAAGCAGGTTTCCCTCCTCCCTCAGGAATGTAGCCAGCTCAGGTTACCTAAAGAGATAGGGTAAAGGTGTGTCTCCTCTGCTGGGCCCATCCTAACCAAATTGTCACAAAACAGAGATTCTGTGGAGAAACAAAGGTGGCTTCCTGCCACAGTCCCCATCCCACTTAATTATATAAAGCCTTTTTGCATAAAGAGATATCACTTTCCCTGCCTCTGCATGCCATAGTGCTCCAGTTGTAAAGAATAAGGTCTCTCAAGCTGGAAAAGATTTGTCTTATGAAAAGGTAAGAGTTTTTCCCATGAGCATTCCTTGCCTTCAGAATTCATTTTCGAACTACCCTTCACTGCAGCCCACCGTTAAAATTTGAAAGGTACCAAAGTAATGGTACAAAGAAGCCCCAAATTCAAAAGCCTTTACATTTTTTGAATGCAAAGCCAACCAATGTTTTAATACACTACATACTCAAATTTCTGCTGGCCCATACCCATGTCACCCCACTGACTTCAAGAAAACTGCACAGGGTATAACTCAGGCAAAATTCAGTCTCATACGGGGCAGATCCAGGCAAGGTGCAGTAGTGCAGTGGCACCCACTTTTGATTCTTGGTCCACCCATTGTTTAAAACCAAGTACCTGGCAGTCGCAGCAGCATTTTTACTGAGGCAGCAGTGAAGAAGCCAAGTGACTTCATGGCTCATTATAACCTACCTGATTTTTTCTAAACACTTCATTCCACAGGTGTTAAAAACCCTCTCTCCTTTTTAATGGGGTTGATGTTCTACTAAAGCTAACCTTTCTTCTGCAATTCTGCTATGTGTCAACTGCTTCTGGTAATGTAACTCCTGTTTCACAACCTTGCAGACAGTTATTAACTCTAGCTAAAAACCTTAAATCAGGTGTGGAAAACTTAACTCAGGTGAGCATCAACTCAGGTGTGGAAATAAATTTCGGTGACGCATTGGATGCACAGTCAAGATGTTAAAGGCAGCCAGATTTTGTTTTATGAATATTAATAAAGAAAGGCACATTCAATTCTCATAACTACAAGACTTATTAAACAAGATATTTTGATTATTTTTTGCCTAATTTGTTGTGGTTTTTATACAGAATACAGGAAATTAATGCACATCCTAATAAAGTTATATTGTTTTTGCTTCACTCTTAAACTAAGTAATATAACCCTGGGCCCCTAGCTTATTAGTAAAGCATCTAATTTCTTTTTAACAAGAGAAAAGTATATGTTGTTTATGTGATGAGGCTCCACACCATCTGCTCCTCCCCTCCCCCCCACTTTTCAAAATCCTAGATCCACCCACGGTCTCATAGCACAATAAGCAAAAGTTATTCCAGTACAAAGGTGATGATACAGGGTAAAGTTCCTGTCTTTCTGACTTCCTTAATATACTGTTTGCATTAACCCTTCTTTCAATGTTCTTGCTAAAATGTTTGGAGGGTATTTTTTAAATACCGGGTACTCTCTCTTCCATGTGTATGCCTAGTGAACGGCAGCATAACACTGTACTTCCTAACTAGTTCTGGTCTATTCACAGGAAAACTAGCTATACAAAATTAACCCCTGGACTTACCCCATTACTACTGAGAGAAAGATGGCTGGAGCTCCTCTTTCACACCTGGAACTCAAGGCCCTAAACCAAGTGAGAGCAAAATGGGTTTAATTACAAACAACCTCAGAACGACTTCCTCCCCACTGTAGCAAGTAACCTGTGACCAGTTCAAAGGAAGTACAACCAGGGAAGTCAGGACTCTAACAACTGATAGATGGCCCCTGAAATCAATATTTTAAAACTATTAAGGCCTAATCCTACAACATGTAAGTGGCTAATCTGTTGCTTTTAGTAAAATGGGATACCTCACAAGAAAGTAAGGATTTACAGGATGGAAGTTATTTTGTAAAAATGTATCTCTGTTATTCTCTGTGTTCTGTACATACCATTTAATTTGTGATTGCTTAAACAATATAAAAAATTCAAGAAAGCCAAAAAATGTATGGCTTATAAGGTATTAATGGCAGAAGAGCTACACAATGATGGATTTTTTCCCCCCATCTTCAGACTTGCCAATACAATCACTGAATATCTAACGAGTTGCTTCACAAAATGTTTTAAACTTCGTTTAAAAGTCATGTTTTCTGTCCTGTTCATTCCAGTTTAAATTACTCTTTCTCCTTTGATCATTCTTGATTCTTTAAAGGTACACTATTGGACATAATAAATCCTGTCAAAAGAGAAAGTGCCATCACCTTCAAACAACTGTCATCAAAGAAATCTCTTATTAATTCACCTCAAATTAATCCAAAACAATCTTTTCTATTAGCATATGCTTCAGAGCATGGGGAACATTAGTAGTCATGTGACCACTGAAATAAATCTAAGCTCTTCTAAATATAAGCTCTTCGTTAAGAGAAAATAAATGCTATTTAGCTCACTCGTTTCAGAGAGTGTAAGAGTGGCATTTCAAACGTATTTTGTTCAAGTCTTTGATTGAAACCACTCATTACATTTTAAACTTGCTCCCAATGTAATCTTTCAGGCAAAATTCCCACTGTATGAGTATGAAAAAAAAAAAGGATGAAAAAGATTTGACTACATAGGAAATACAGGAACAGACCTCATTACATCCCAGTTATAGTTACGATATCAAACCTATTACTTTTATCAAGGGGGCCTAATAACTCTACATGTGTTTTGTTTTTAACAATTAAAAATAATAAAAAATACAAGTACAATTAATAATAATAATTTATCTAAGATGGATAAGCCTTCGGCTGTACAGCTTTTGGATTAGCTTTGCCCTGTCTTCCAACCCAGAATCTCAAAGTGCTTTACAAATATCTATCAATTAAGCCTTATGTAACTTTGTGAGATAGGCAAAGTATGATTACCTCCATTTTACAGAGGAGTAAACTGAGATACAGAGAGGCTTGATAGAGGTCAGATACAGGGAAACTGCAGAACCCTGATTTCCCAAGTCATTCTGCTTTGAATTCATTCACCTGTTCATATTCCAGCATAGACAGCTTCCACCTGGTACTTGGCAATAGGCCAAGATCATGTAATTTAATAAGGTTCAAAAAGAGCACCTCATGGAAAAGTCTAAACACTTCAATTTATCATGACAGTTAAGGGACAAACTGGCATTTTATCTGTATGTAAATTAATCTCCAAATAGACTAAAAAGGCCACACTTTCAGAGAATATTGTAGCTCTGCTTCTCTGCTCTGAATGTATCTAAAGCCAGCTTTGTATATCAAAGGTAGTTTAATTTTTATGTATTGATGTTGCTTTGCATGCTCCCCAATCTGTTGTTATTTTACTGCACAGAGAATTCAAAATGATTGCTTATAGCAGTGAAATAACTGCCTTCCACCACTCTTAGCTCTCCAAGACAGGCTCAGACCTGAATTTGCTAGTTATTGAATTAATTTATTGAGCAAAGAGTAGGTAAATTAACATAGGATTTGCCCTACTGGATCATAGTTTCATAGTTTCTAGGGTCGGAAGGGACCTGAGCAGATCATCTAATCCAACCCCCTGCCATGGCAGGAAAGAGTACTGGGGTCAAACGACCCCAGCAAGGTGTTCATCTAACCTCCTCTTAAAAACCCCCAGGGTGGGAGCCAGCACCACTTCTCTTGGAAGTTGGTTCCAGACCCTAGCCGCCCTGACCGTGAAGTAGCGCCTCCTGATGTCTAACCTAAACCTACCCTCTGCCAGCTTGTGACCGTTATTCCT